AGCGGTACCCTACCGGTCCAGGATGCGAGGATGCGAGGATACACTGTACCGCCCATACCTTTGACAAGACCTCCCAGATACCGCGTTCACACAGATCACCTCCCACACTTGATATGGGTAATTGAAATCCAAACCGTATAGTTCTGGACATGGGTGATTGAAAGCAAAACAGTACAGTTCGTGGCATGAGTGATTGAATTCAAAGTACAGTTCGTGACATGGGTGATTGAAAGCAAAACAGTACAGTTCGTGGCATGAGTGATTGAATTCAAAGTACAGTTCGTGACATGGGTGATTGAAATCAAAGTTTAATTCGTGAGACGCGTATAGGCAGGCCGTACAGGCAGCAACGCCTTTTCCATCCCTTTTCACCTCCCCAGCCAGTGTCAGGTAGCTTACATAACTCGAGCAAGAGCTTGTCTGTCCTATGGTTGGCCGCTTGGCCTTGTCTCTCTCACGCGTCCTCCGTACACACCGCAACACTGCGCAAACTATCAACCGCGACAATTTACAATCTCTACGCCTTCGCCATGCCGTCCCCGCCAATGTTGAGTGAGGAAGCCGTCCAGCATGTAGGTCGATGATTCAGGTCAATGTACCATCATGCTAAGCATGGTCCAGCTCCACCGCGCGTTTTCCACTGCGCAACTTTACATGGATAAGACTGCTGCCGCAGCCACGCTACTCGTAGCGGCACTCGACTGTACGATCCCCAGATTGTTGTAGGCGTCCGTAGTACTGACGACCTGCCTAGTTGCATATGGAGATGATTTATACGACATCATTGCCTATAACGCCACGCTCGCGGACGCGTCGCCAACCTCAGACCCGCGCCGGACAACGCTTCAGCCGGAGGAAATCGAGATACGCAGTGCCACGCAGTGCAGAATCGAAACACGGAAGCAGCTCGCGAGAGGGTTGCAAACTCTTTATACACGTAGGAGCGTGGGCTGATTGTTCGTGTTGAATCTAGGTCCAGAAACCGCCGCCAATGCAAGAACGTGAGGCAACCCGCAAGATGGAAATCGACGAACAGACACTGAGAAAGAGAAAAGGAGAACCAGAGCGTGGCACCTTGTCGCCGTCCAAGAGGGCCAAAGCTTCCTGAGCGGTGCACTGGAGCGCCCGGGAAACGATGCGAGTCCGTGGCAAGCGAAACGGTCGTCACGGATACACGGGAATCAGTTAGGGAGGAGCAGGACCATGGGAATGACAGGTTGATGATGAGCAGCAGGCGTGTGTAGCTCTGTGACGAAGGTCTCTATAGGAGTAGTCCAGCCTGTAGCTATAAGGCCGTGTTCATATGAAAAATCTACACTAAACATGATTCTGTATGTAGGAGCCGCGGACTGAACCCATGCCAGCGTCCGGTCTCTTCCTGTCCTCCACCGTGCGGTCACCAATTCTCCCCTCCGAGCATGTCTGCTAGCCGTGCGAAATCGTCGCAGGTTCCCTTAAGCACCACGTCGAAACAGGCCATCACGTTCTGCTTCGGTAGCTCCTTGTTGATCCATATGGCCAGGCCGTTGTTTTTGCGGACAACCTCGGCCATGCTTCTCACCAGGTCGCGTGCGCCAGGCCCGTCCAATGCCGTCCCGGCCACGATCAGGGCATCAGGCATGGCCTCGAGATCGTGTGCATGAACTTTGCCGATGGACTCATTCTCCCAATCGGCCTCCTGGTCGTACAGGAGGATGCGCGGGCGCAGTCCCCCAGGGTTTCGACCTCTCTTGCCGGCGGCGACACGCTCATCCTCGGCAATCTCGCACAGTCGGCAGACGGGTGGCGTGTTTCCGACGAAAAGGGACAGATCGGTGGGCAGAACGTGTCCGTTCTTTGTGCACTGCGAGTAGTGCAAAGTCCCGTGAAGCTGGATTGTATTGGGCCACGGCCCGCTGGTCGTCAACGGAGTTTGGGTGAAGAGATAGGGCAGCCTCAGCTCCAGTCCGTCAATGTTCTGTGTATAGAGACGGACTAGACGGCGGTCCCTAGCAAGAGCATTAACCCAGTGGTGAAAGGGTGTCGGATTCGAAGCCGACGCCTGCACGCACGCCTCGCGTAGGAACTCGTGGAAGGCTTCCAGCCTCGCGTTGTTGTGATAGACTGC